TTCCTTCCTTCCTCCCTCCCTCCCTCCCTTTTGTTTTAAAAAAGCCCTAATTTGAACCAAGGACATGCTCTGAAGAATACTTTACAATATTTATTGCTTTTATATGCCACCTTTCCTCTAAGGCCCCCTAGGCTGCCTGCATGACTGCCTTCTTCCCTGTATTCTCCACACAAGAGCCCTGTGTGGTAGATCAGACCAAGAGAACCGATGACTGGCCTAAAGTCATCCAGTCCGTTCCATGGCTAACTGAGGATTTAAACACTGGTCTCCGGAGCTTGAATTTAAGATGCTAGTCACGCTATGCCACCTTTCCCCTCCCTGTACTCTTCCTTCCCTGCTGGCTGCATAGCTGGACAGTTCAGTGGGGTGGCTCCACTGTTTTTTTTTTCAACTTGAGCTTCACCGGAGCTGTCCAAGGTACAAAACCTTTTGGGATGGGTTTCAGCTCCTGAGAAATCTCCCATACAGCACAGACTTAAACCCAAAGTCCATTCCATGCCCTCGGTCACCAGCTGTCTTACAGCTACCTTGGCAGGCTATACACACTCACTGCTAATTTTTTTTCTTATACAATATATTTTTTAATGGAACCTGTAGTGGCCTTTTAAATATATATACATATATTTGTGCTTGAGGATAACTTGGTGGCCTGAAAAATGGGGGATGGGGGAATCCCTCACTCTGGCCCTTAAAAGATGCAAACAGATTTTTTTTTTTGAGCTACAAGGTTTCTCCAAGAAAAATATGAATTGGTGGATGTGTGGGAAGGGTGATGGGTTAGTGACAGGCTGCATTTATCCATCCTTTTCTACACCCAGTGTTAGAGAAGTACGACAATGGAATCAAGTACCTTGGGGAAGGTGGGGAGCGCTCCAACCCTGGAGGTATTCAAGAGGTTCTACACCCAGTGTTAGAGAAGTACGAAAATGGAATCAAGGTAGACAGCCCTCTGTCAGATTTGCTCTGATTTGTATTTCTGCCTTGAGGAAGGGGTTGGACCCAATGGCCTTCTAGGCCCCTTCAAACTCTATGTAATTCTAGGATTCTCTGATCTCCAGGCCAACTGGGAGTTGTAGTTCAAAGAAGTTACTTCCCTGAGTCTGAATTGGCTTCGGTTGTATCACCAAACACAGAGGGGGGGGGGAGAAATCTACATACAATGCACGCAACCATCCGCAGAAAGGGCACGAAGCCCATTCCTTCAATAGATGCCTTCGTTAGCTGACTTAACGAGCAATTAACAGTCCAAGCGAAGACCGTGTCCCGTTCTTTCTAAGCCCTCCAGGACACATTTCCAACTGTGAGTGACCTTAACATCTTTCTCCCCCTCTGTGGGCTCAGCAGGTAAGACTGAGAAATGGGGCCTGACTGGGTTCGTTTAATGTCCCTTTCTTTCTTTCTTTTTCTCCCCTTCCCCTGTAACGTTGCCTCCCTCCCTCTCTCTCTCTCTCTCTCTCTCTCTCAGTTCCCCCCACTCCCCAGGCAGTAGGACTCGAAACCCTCCTGCCATGCATTGCCATCTGTACCAAAGTGTGCAATTAAATAAAACAAAACAGGGGAAAAAAAGAGATAGGGAGAAAAAAGAAGTCCACCCCATCTTAGCAGTTTGCATCCCACTGGGGTTTTGTTTAATGAATACCACGGTGGTATTTCAGACGGGAGACAGCTAAAAATATACCAGTGGGGACTCAAGGGACAGAGCGAATGGGAAGCCAAAGGAAGTGGCTGATGGAACAACACCACACACACACAAAAGGTCTTCTTTTCCCTTGTCCTTTCCCTTCCCCGGGAAGAAGGGAAAATTATCTTCCCTGCTTTGCTTCCTCCTGCTATCTCCCTGTCGCTGACAAAAATAAGCAGAGTTATTCATCCTGATGATTTATGGCCAGGCAACAGAGGTGGAACCAGAACTTTGGGCTCCCAGGACGGCTTAGCTCGGGTCGCGCAAGATGGTCTCACTGTCAAGTCAGATTTAAGTCACATCAGTGATTTCTCGTGGACTTGACTCATTCCCCCCCAACTTGGACTCAACGTGTGACTCAGAACCCACCCATTCCCTCTTTTTCTGGGAGGGGAGGGAGTTTGTATTTAATAGGGACATGGGCTTGGGGCTTTGGACTTGGCAACGTAAAGGTTCCCCTTGACCTTTAGTCCAGTCATGTCCGACTCTAGGGCGTGGTGCTCACCCCCGTCTCCAAGCCGTAGAGTCAGTGTTTTCCCATAGACAGTTTCCGTGGTCATGTGGCCAGTACGACTAGACACGGAACGCCGTGACCTTCCCACCAAGGTGGTCCCTATTTATCGACTTTTTACATGCTTTCGAATGGCTAGGTTGGCAGGAGCTGGGACAGGCGATGGGAGCTCCCTCCGTGGCGTGGATTCGATCTTACGACGGCTGGTCTTCTGACCTTGCAGCACAGAGGCTTCTGTGGTTTAACTCGCAGCGCCACCATGTCCCTTGGTGTCAAAGACCCGGACTTGAGATTTGGACTCAAAGATTTGGCAACATCCCCAGGAAAGCCTAGGGCAGAGAACTGGAACTCCCAAAATTCTGTCTGGGGATTTAATAAAATAAAATAAATTCAAATGACATGTCCTTAGCAGCAAATTGCAATGGTC